CCCCCCCCCCCCCCCGAAGCCACACGCTGACCCCTTTGCCTGTTGATGGTGTAGGCTTCTCGATGATCGCCGGACGCTGGACGAGATCTGTGTGCACCTTGGAAGACCGCGCAACGAGGTCCTCGAGGCCCTGGCCATGGCCGGGCCTGCGGTGGTACTTGCGCGGCAATGACACCTGCGGACACTCCTCCCCCCTTGTCCGCCCATCGGTGGGACGGTGTAATAGAGAAAAATCCAAAGAGGCAAGCGAGGAGGGAGAAGCAGCGGGGAGAGGAGGGAGCAGGAGCAATTCTATTGTGGACACGCCCATCGCGCCTGGACGGGCGCATGTCCGCACGCTCAAGCACGTGCGCCTTTCAGCCCTTGCTGCCAAATTGCCGATCCCAGTCGAGATAGAGGACCAGGTCATTCTCGCTGACACTGGCGCGCACCTGGGTCAGGGCATATTGGAAATCGGAGAAGCTGATGGATCGCACATCCTCAAGGCGCATGTTGCGAATATCATGGGCAGTCAGCTCCCGGATCGGACCCATGGCCGCCTCCTTACAGAGGTTGGTCATGTCCGAGCCGGAGTACCCGGCCGTCAGGCGGACCACCTCTTCGATGTCCTCCTCGGTCAGGCTGTGCGAGTGGGTGCCGAGCAGGCGCGCAACGATTTGCCGCCGGGCGGCCCCCTCCGGCAGTGGAACATAGTAGCGCTTCACCAGACGCCGGCGGACAGCCTCGTCCAGCTCCTGCGGTCGATTTGTTGCGCCAACAATCAGGATCTGATCATCGGCATTGGTCGCCGCGCCATCCTGTGGCCCGGTGCATGGGAGGAGCGCAGAGCGGGTCGGGAGGGGGGGGGGGCGGCGGCGGGGGGAGGTAAAACGAGGGGAGGATGAGAGGGCACGATGGCGAGAAATGGACACGCGGTCAGTATTCATGGGCGGGCGGGCGGGCGGGCGGGCGCTCCTGGCGAGGCGATTCCAGGCACAGGGACCGGATGGGGGGCCAGATCGCACCAGCTGAATGAGGAACTCGGTCTTGATGCGCCGGCTGGCATCTTGCTCGCCGTCCGTACGCTGGCTGAGGAGAGAGTCGATTTCGTCGATGAAAATGACCGACGGCTGCCGGCAGCGAGCCACCGCAAAGAGGGCCCGCATCATCTTCTCGCCCTCGCCCACCCACTTGGATGTCAAGGAGGAGGCAGAAATCGAGAAAAAGGTGGCATTTGCTTGGGCTGCGATGCACTTGCCGATCAGGGTCTTTCCGGTCCCTGGCGGCCCAAAGAGCAAGGCGCCCTTGGGGGGGACGCGCAGTCCGCGGAAGAAGTCCCTGAAGGGGCGCGCCGGGGCAAGGGACAAAAATGGAGTCAGATTGCGGCTAAACAGGGAGCTGGCTGACTTTGCACATAGCGGCATGCCTGTGAGCCAATGCGCGTGCGTGCATGTATGTTTGTGGGTTTGTGTGTGTGTGTGTGTGTGTGCGCGCGCGCGTGCGCATGCGTACGGTCGCATCAAGGGATAGACGGCCATCTCCATGATGCCATTTTTGGCGTGGTCCAGGCCGGCGATGTCATCCCAGGACACCTGCGGCTTGTCGCCGAGGACCTGTGAATCCGTCCGTCCGTCCGTCCGCCCCACCCAACCCCAAGCAGTAGCAGACGTGGGCATCCCCGGGTGAGAAAGGGCGAAAAAAAGAAGAAGAGAAAGGTGCCCCCCCCCCCCCCCCCCCCCCCCCCCCCCCCCCCCCCCCCCCCCC